TATAACACACGCTATAAATCACAGTGATTCACACACTTTACTTACGGAGCCTACTGTTCGCTTGACTCAATTATCTATATCTTCAATCTATCTATCTCATTCTGCTTTATTTCCGGGCTTATATTCTAAAAAAGAGGGCGCCTGGAATAGACTAGAGTTGCCAGGAAAATTCAAGATCCTTCGAGAATCTCATGACGTTTTACCATCGTCACGTTACTTCCGCTGTCATAATAGTTATTAAAACGTTCCCGTATAGTTGTTTTGGTTTGACCTACATATTGGAAATTGCATTTTCGACATTGGATTAAATAAATAAAAAATTTTACAGAGCAGGTTATGGAATTAATGATTTTGAACTGCTTTTGGTTGTCCTTATTGGAAAATGTGTCCGTTTCCTGCATGAACTTACAGGTTTGACATCGCTTGCTATTGCAAGGTTGACTTCCACCTGGTGTCGGATTAAAGTCTATTTTAGCGTGAATTAATGCAAAGTTTTATTCTTTCTGAAAGAAACGACAGGAACTTCCATAAAAATATATTTTAATCGATCATTAAGTTGAAGGAGGTAAAAGTGTTTCCGTGGTAGATTTTTAGTTTCGGGTGATAGGTAATAACTAGCGGAACACGAGAAAGGTTGGTTTTTAGGTAATTGTGTCAAGGCAGATGTACGTGGTATATTGTTAGATTTCTCCATTTGTTGGGTGATAGTTTTGCTTATAGCCTTTCAGTCATACTTTGTTTCAAAGAATTAATGTGACGGTCATAGTTTTACTATCGGAGCATATCTTCTTTAATCCAAGTGCTTGATTGGATGAGATATTGCGTTTGGTGTGTGGAAGGTGACAGCTTTGATTATGTAAGTATTGTGGTTTATCCGTTGGTTTTCGATTCAAATCAGTATGTAGAACACCATTTTTTAATGTTAGGTTTACATCCAAGAAACTTATTTGGGTGGCGGAGTAGTCTTAGAGTAAATTTAACAGACCTGTGAAAGGTGTAAGCATGTCTATAAAAGGACAGTAATGAATCTTCGTCTCCTATCCAAATAAAAAAAAATGTCATCAATGTAGCGTCTCCAAAATGTTAGCTTGTCTGTGCAGTTTTCCAAAAGTTTCGTCTCCAAATCTCCCATAAAAATGTTGCCATAGTCTGGTGCCTTCGTGGTACCCATAGCTGTTCCTTTTGTTTGAATATAGAATTCATTATTAACTTCAAAACCGTTAAATGTCAGTACTAGTTCAGCTAAGTCTGTAATAATTTGAGTGTTGTGTTTGTCTAGTTTTTGTAGGAAGATTCTAGGACGTTTAGACCTTCGTCGTGGGGAATGTTTGTGTATAGAAAAGAAACACCAGATAATAGTGTTTGGATGAAGTTTTCCGTTGGTTTTAATGTCAGAGGTCATGTTTAGAAAATGTGTCTTTAATGTACGACGTCAAACGTGGGAGGATATCTTTGATGTGCTGAACAACATAAGCAGATACTTTTTCAGTAGGCATACCATAATCAGAACTAATAGGACGACCAAGATTGTTGGGTTTGTGTATTTTTGGTAACATGTAAAAGCGACCTGTAATTGGGTGTTAAAGGGTGAAAGGAACTGTAATGTTTCACTATGTGTTGGCTTTTCTGTAAACTACATAACATATCTTCGATAATTTTAACAAATTGTGGTGTTGGGTCCAAATCTACCTTTTTATAGTGGTTTGTGTCATTAAGTTGTCGGTAGATTTCGTTGACATAGTCGGTTTTATTTTGAATGACAATAGCACCGCCCTTATCAGCTGGTTTAATAATAACTTCACTTTTGTGTTTCAGTGAAATTAGAGGAGAATGTCCACTATGGGAGAGATTGTTTCGTACTTTTGAGTCAGAGTTAATAGCTTGAATTACTTGAATTAATTAAGTTCTCTAGATGTGAATCCCTGTTGGCTGTGGGTGACCAAAAGTATTTTAATTATTAGATGTACTTTCTTAGGAAAATTAATAGTTGAGAAAGAATGCTACAAACAGTGTAAAAGACAATTCTAACGCTATAATCCAGTAAAATACAATGTCTGACTGCTGATGTAGCTGGTTGTCAGTTGATGACCGGTCCCCCGGTGGGACAGGGTAAGTCTACAGACTTGCAAAGCTAAAATTATGGGTTCGATTTCCCGCTGCGGATACAACAGATAGCCCAATGTGGCTTTGCTATAAAACACACACACTTATAACCTTATAGTTTTATTAACAGTCTAACCAGTGGCGCCAACAGGTTGGAGAAAAAGAAAATAGCACTTGAAGTTCCGAAACACCATGTAAGATGACACAAACACGTCTAGTTTCTCCAAGACAAGAAAAAAAGCGATCATTGATTGTGAATATTTCGTTGAAAATGTACTTTAACTGTGCTCAGTAATACGAACTTTTGCTCTAAGATGATAATAACACTGCCGTTAGGTTTTCAGGTTTATGTTCCGATTGCTTTGCATATCGCTCATGTCTGATGTTCACTGGGGGTTTCTATTTGTTTGTAAAATTCATTTCCAAAGTTTCCGATAACATTTTATTAACTGTCATATTGCAGTTCACTTTACATCTAGGGTGTATTGTAAGAGACGGGTTTTTTTCACTCAAGACTAGGAATGGACATTTTACAAATATAATATACTCTAAATCAATTTGAAAAGTAAGTTATTCTTTTTACTAAAATGTATTATAATCTAATCCATTAAACATAATTTTACTGAAAAGAAGGTGAAACCACTAACAACACTCTACAAACAGGATATGAGCAACTCTAAATACGGTCTATCAAAGACACGACCTTCTTGTTTAAATATAATTTGTTTTTAAATGTTTGAAAGGCAATTTCAAACCAAATAAACCTGACGCAGTATTATAATAACTTGATATGTTGGAGTGACTCTTTTAGTTTCATACTCTAGAAAATCTATCTATGGTTAATGGTAATGTTTATTCAAATCATTTAAAATGTTCAAAAAGCAAGGAAATTTTGAAACATTCGTTTACTAAAGCGTCTGGATGTGGTGAATTTAAGCTCTGCACGTATGACGGTGATTGGAAATATTTCAAAAACAAACTAAGCGTAATCAGACAAACTGCTAGTAAATCAGGTTACAGGAACAAAATCTTTGTTTACTTACTTCCAAACGCAGTGTGATATTCTTGTGTTTAAAAACAGGTGCGCAAATAAGTAGCCTTCAAAGTAACTTAAAATGTGTATGCTTTTCTAAATTATTTATCTCACGTGGGTTTTACAGAATAAGAAGACGAGTGACTTTTTGGTGGGTTAGAGTTGTTAATACCAACACAAAGTTTCGGTTATTATCTTGTTTGCTTTGTGCGTGTTTGAGGCCATATAAAAGTCCCCTATCATTCATATATAGCCATTCACACACATTAGAACTACTCACAAGAGAGGAGGAAAACATCCAACAGCATGCACCATCCAACCCTTTATCCGGCTACTTTACACAGAATTACATCCAAAACAGAAAGTATAGAACATGCTCAGCAGCGCCATCGCATATATCTTCGATCTTTAACCCTTTTGAAAAGTCTAGCTTTCGAAGTACGTCACATTCTATGTTCATTACAGATAGCAGCCTGTTTAGTCGACTTTGTCCTGTTCTGTTCCTGAGCTCACTTTTTACGTTTCAATTTCAAAAACGATCGTTGCAGTTTGTTTGTTTGTTATGAATTTCGCATAAAGCTACATGAGGGCTATCTGCGCTAGCCGTCAATAATTTAGCAATATAAGACTAGATGGATGGTAGCTAGTCATCACCACCCACCGCCAACTCTTGGGCTACTCTTTTACCAACGAATAGTGGGATTGACCATCACTTTATAACGTCCCTACGACTGAAAGGGCGAGCATGTTTGTAACGACTTGTAATGTTTACTAAACGTCTGCCAATACTGGACCAGTATTGAGAGATAACACATATATATAAGATATATAGAAATTTCATGTGATTTATTAATTTTTTCGTTTCTGTATGCCCCCCCCCCACCCCACACACACACACCATAAACCCTAAACCTCTTGTGATCGCCCAAACCTTAATCCGTCACTGCCTGTTACTGCCACCTGATGTTGAACAATTCACTAACAAACAGTAAGACTTCTCAACACTTGGTTCTGGATATAGCAGGTATAGTGTGTTATTATACACTTCACTCTGAAGTGTTAATTAATAACAACTAATGTCTTTTTTTTTCCCACTGACAATGTGGTTGCTGTTCCAGGAGCAAGAAAAGTAGCTTAGTAGTCACCAGAACTTCTAAATAATGAGCACAGAAATTGAAGAAAACTAATAATCAATAGTATATGATAGTAAATAAATAACATAAATCATTACCCTAATTCTGATGAGACAAATAAAATCGATCAAAAATTATATTTCACCAACTTAATCCAGTTCACATCGTAACACTTAGTGTCAAGCAATTTGCTAAGACAATAAGGTTTCCACAACTATGTCTATCATATCACAATCAGCACAAAGAGCCATTGTATTGGGTGATAGGCCTCACTGGCATTGGATATGGCATATAGTGGGATTATCATACTGTTAAACAATTTTATTTACTTTCACTCAGAAGTTATTACCTCTTCATTTCAATCTTTCTTTGTCGCAAACAGTCTTTTTATAACTTTACATCTCACAGACAGCAAAAATTTTTTTTTAAAACGTCTTCAATCACTTACAGGCAACATTATGAAATAATCACTTTTTGTCTACTCACAGTTATTCAAAAATATACAAGTACATGAAACATATCCTACTTCAAGTGACTTCCCATGCAAACTATAATCTTTAATGTGAACAAGCTTACTGAAAACAGTTTGTTCATTTTAATGGACCAAAGTGAACAAACTACCCAAGAACAGTGTTTGTTGTGTTTTAATGGACTAACATGAATAAGCTTATTGAAAACAGTTTATTCAATATTAATTGGTCAAAGTGAACAAGTGAACTTAGAACAATTGGTTGAGTTTTTAATTATTTCATTTACTTACTTCATAGTCTGGACATTTTACATCAATGACATGATACAAAGACCTCACAGAAAATTTCAGAAGATCAGCTCACTACTTTAACTACACAAATACACTTCATTTTCTGAATCCCACATATCATCTTCTTCCTCTTCATCTAGAAACTCAGAAACAAAAGGTATTTCTTTCTTCTTCGCACCCTGATGGCCTTGATCACAGCTAGATTTAGCAACATATTTTTTACCTCTACCTTTACCAACTTCTTGACCACTTACTAGTTGAGATGATACAGTTGTTGGCAACTCAATCTGTTTAACTGGTTGGCCAGTTTGGTTAGCTTCAAACTTTTGGTTGTTCTGGATCTAAGTAAGCAAACCACATATCATAAGTTAAGAACCATAGCAAATAACAATGTTAAGAGTAACTATAACCATTACAGGACTAGAAACAGGTTGTTTTATAAGAAAGAAAGGCACCACAGATATGACAATCATCATTTTACATTGTTTATTTTGTTCCTGCACAACTGATTACTTTGGAACAACCTTATTACATTTTTTAGCATTAAACTAATATAAGACAATGAAGAACTAACTATACTTCAAATATATAAAAAACATAAAAAGAATTACATATAAACAACGATCATAATTTCTTATGGATTGTTCCTACTTTTGACTATAAGGTGCATGTTTTAGATGCTATACCAAAATTTTCTTTGGTTTTTTTTATAGACCTTAAAGAATGTCAGTATAAAAGTCTACATCATCATTAACAACAACAACTATGGATAAAAGATATATAATCCTGATATACACAGTGGTACAGACCTTAAAGAACCTCAGCTAACAAACCAACAGTATGTTCAACAACAACAACTATGGACAAAGAAACAGTCAATAAGAGATCTAATCCTGATAATACACAGTAGTACAGACCTTAAAGAACCTCAGCTAACAAACTGACAGTATGTTCCGCAACAACAACTATGGACAAAGAAACAGTCAATAAAAGATATATAATCCTGATATACACAGTAGTACAGACCTTAAAGAACCTCAGCTAACAAGTCGACAGTATGTTCAACAACAACAACTATGGACAAAGAAACAGTCAATAAGAGATCTAATCCTGATATACACAGTAGTACAGATCTTAAAGTACCTTAGCTAACAAGTCGACAGTATGTTCCACAACAACAACTATAGACAAAGAAACAGTCAATAAGAGATCTAATCCTGATATACACAGTAGTACAGACCTTAAAGAACCTCAGCTAACAAGTCAACAGTATGTTAAACAACAACAACACTATAGACAAAAAGCAGTCAATAATAAGAGATCTAATCATAATATATATATATATATATATACAGTAGTTCATCAGAGCATAGTGTGTGTAAAAAAACGCAGACAGGCAATAAGTACACAAACAAGTGTATTCCTAAAACATAACTTGATATTAAAAAAGCTATGATTTAATTCAGCTTTCACAATTAACCTTTTTTATAAAAATACATTTTATAAAATAATAAACAAACACAAAAAACTAGACATAAGATATACTTGCTAAAAATTCAAGAGAACCATCTTAAAAGTCCAATACAGACAAAAGCATTATATAACTCTACAATAAAACACATGTAACTCGAAACTTTCCATTCAACTTTCATGCTTTTTTTATTAATTCTTAACTAAATAGTAAAACAATGAAACAAAAAACTATTTTTTTTTCTAAATACGTACATATTCAGAAAGAATATTTTATTCACTTTCTTCTAGAATTAATAAAATACCAAAAAAATTTAAAAGGTAAAATAAATCAATTTTGATTAATGTTGCACAAATTAAAGACAGTATCATGATCTTCAATGTGGTAAAACTTCATGGGATGACATGCGTAAAAGAACACCTACTTCTTCTGTAGAGCTCATGTAATTATTTAATATACTTAACCTTAGTAAATTTGCCACTCTTTTTGCAGTTAAGTTTGATAACAACGAAGCCTTTTAAGAAAATAAACTATAAATATAGCTTGAACAGGTATAAAACCATCCCATGTTTAACACCATTGAAACTCGGAAAATCATAGTGTTACGACAGCGAAAGTCAAGTGACGCTGGTAACAAGTGATGAGTTTCTAGAAGAATCATGAAGGCTCGAGTGTTTGACAGACGCCCTATATTTTTATACATAAGCCTCACAGATAAAGAGAGACAATAACTGCAGATAGACAGATAATTGAGTCAAGTGAGTGGTAGTGACCGTAAGTAAAGTGCGTGAATCATTGTGAATTATAGCGTGTGTTAAGTTAAAGTGACGGTGGAAATTCTGTGTATTGCAAAGTTGTATTGAGAAAGAATAAACTAGTTTTATTTAAGAAAGGACTTGTAACGCTGAAGTTTTCGGAAAGAATTTCTAAGGGAAATTAATAAACGATCAGAGACGTAACAAATTGGTGTCAGAAGTGGGACGGAAAAGAAAAAAAAATGGAAACTAGAAGTGGCAAATCAAACTACAGCTCAGCAGATTTGATGGCAGCAATACAAGAACAGCAAAAGAAACAAGCAGAACAAGAAAAGAATCAAGAAGAGAGATTAGAGCAGCTGTTAGAGGAAAAAGAAAAGAAACAAGAAGAGAGGCTACAGCAGTGGTTGGAGGAGAAAGAAAATAAACAAGAAGAGAGACTACAGCAGTGGTTGGAGGAGAAATAAAATAAACAAGAAGAGAGACTACAGCAGTGGTTGGAGGAGAAAGAAAATAAACAAGAAGAGAGACTACAGCAGTGGTTGGAGGAGAAATAAAATAAACAAGAAGAGAGACTACAGCAGTGGTTGGAGGAGAAAGAAAATGAACAAGAAGAAAGTCTCCAACAATTGAGAGAAAGCCAGCATGCACAAATGGAAAAGATTAGTAAATTTCAAGGTGAATTAAATACATTAAAGGACGATTTACTGTCCTTTACATAGGGAGGATATATTAACCATGGACCTAATCAACCCCAGACAACAGGAAGCCCATTCCAGATCCTGCAGCTAAACCCTAATGCAGACATCTTCAGTCCTGCCAGAAGTCACATTCCAGACACAAGTGTCAGCAATAGGGGTGACATAGTAT